ACCGGTGAAGTGGACAGTCTCTATGATGGTCCGTCGATTTTCAATAAGGAGCCTTCGGGCCCAGATGAATTCAATCATGTTTTGGGTATCGAAATTCAACTGTTGGAAGAATTTGGTTTTCGTTTGGTAGTTATTCTATTGCGCAGGCCCGAGATTTTCTCCCATGAGAATTTGTTGTGACCTTGCAAACAAATGTTATTTTTTGGTACCTACAACGAATTCAAAATTCTGTGTGTGGTTGCTTCATATATGCCTTTCCATGAATTTCAAGGGGGCGATACCATGGAGTTGCGACATTCATCATTCGTGTTCGATCGGGAGAAACAACGGGGGTTTCCTACCATGAGTCCGACACCACATGCCGGCCACGGGAGCACATCGGCTTCGAGGGCGAAGCCTTCCGAACCAGAGGAGAATGGTATATATTATTATTATTATTATTATTATTATTATTATTATTATTATTATTATTATTATTATTATTATTATTATTATTATTCGGTGTCTTAGAGAATAACTTAGGAACTTAATATTGTTATTATTATTATTATTATTATTATTATTATTATTATTATTATTATTATTATTATTATTATTATTATTATTATTATTATTGTTGTTGTTGTTGTTGTTGTTGTTGTTGTTGGACAAGTTAAGGTCTGGGGTTAGGAGTTTTATTTAATGGGCTCTTCTGCTTTGTTATGAGATAGTTGAGAATGATACAAAAATTGATATCGTATTTTGGGTTCTTGAGATTGCGATATCATTAATATCGTCCCACTCGTACGCTTCCCTACATCAATCGTCTAGCTCATCGCATATTTTTTTTACACTTTATCAATTATCTTCCCTTGTCTGTCGCATAGCTTTTCACACTTTACCAATTATCTTTGCTTGTCTGTCGTATAATGTGTCCCGTACTTTGTCAATTATCTTCGCTTGTATGTCGCATAGCTCATTGCATAATTTGTTTCGCATTTTGTCAGTTATCTTTGTTTGTCTGTCGCATAGCTTTTCACATGTTATTCATTATTCTCGTCTGTTTGTTGCATAGCTCATTGCATAATTTGTTTCGCACTCTGTCAATTATCTTCATTTGTACCTCATCGAATAATTTGTTTAGCACTTTATCAATTATTTTTGTATACCTGTCGCCTAGTATAAGATAATATGTTTCACACATTATTAATTATTTATGGTGTATGTCGCATAGCTCATCGCATAATTTATTTTACACTTTATCAATTATTTTCGTCTATCTGTCGCATAACTTTTTGTATTTTATCAATTATCTTTGGCTGTATATCGCATAGTATATTGCATAATTTGTTTCACACTTTGTGGGGATAAAACGTGAACTTATTATTTGGCGGTGTGAAAAAACTATTCATTATTCAGAGCGAGGTGAAAGTAACTATTTCTTCAATTTCATCTATGGTTTTTATTTTTATGATCTAAGCAAGTCTTACAAAAGTTAAACAAATTTGAATGATAAATAAATGAAAGGCCTCATGACATTTTAGTATTTATTTTAATCTCAAATAATTTGGTCTTTTATTTTCTTTCGGAACGGTAGAATTTATAACTCAAAAAAGAATGTACAATGTCGAGGACCAACGAGCCCTATAAGCTTACATGAAGCATATAACTCAAAAGAAGAATGTATAATGTCGAGCACCAACTAGCCCTATAAGCTTACATGAAGCAAGACTGGGAGAAACACCATATGAGGCTCTAGGGACAAAGAAAATTGCACAATACAGAAGTTGATTCCAACCATTTGGCAGTGACTGAAGCTTAGAATCCAAATGGTCGATTTCCAACTCCTGGGCCTAGTAAGAACCACTCATTCAAGGCACTACAAAAGGAAGCACTACTTGGGCCTAGTAGAACCTCAATTAAGGAAACCAAACTAACTATCAATCTAAATCTAGCTAAAATAGAACACACAGTAGAATATAGGAAGCTAAACTAAGAAGGTAAAGGAACAAAGTAAAGAATGCAACAAGAGACTACAGCTAAAAGGCATGCTGAACCCAGTGACTGAGGCCCTATTGAATTCATTCCATTCTGCTACTGCTGCATCCCTAATTGATGTAGAGGTTCTTCAGGTCTTTTTGAATATCCACAGTTTTCAAGTTTTCCAATGCCATCAGAGGATGTAGATGGACAGTCAAATTTTTGCCTCAAATGTGGGGCTGCTGTTGAGTGAGCAAATTTTAAACAACCAGGTGTTGAATTTGTCTGATACCAGGTGGAGGCCATCCCATGATAGTGGAGCAATCTCCCAAACAAATAATTTGGACTTTTAGAAGTATTAAAAAGTATATCAAAAAAATTTAAAAGTTCTAAATAAATACACTCCAACTAATAGTAAGTATTTCGGGTTTATTGCACAAACCCCCCTGTATTATACTAAATCTGCGCGTTTTCCCCCTGTATTTTAAAAATTGTGTCATACCCCCTTGTATTTAAGGGTTGCATGCACACACTGTCCTTTTACTGTTTTTCTGTTAACGGCATGAATATTTTTGTAAAATTCCCGTTATGCCCTCCGAATATTATATATATATACTTCTAATAAATTGAAATTATCATGATATATTCAATATATCGCGAGAAATTGAATAAATCGCGAGAAATTGAATAAAAAAAATGATGACGCCTCTAGGATTCGAACCTAGGACCTCCTTGAGGGAGGAGCATGCATACAACCACTGTACCACTCATGCTTATGTATTAGATGTGTTAACGTTTAATATATATTAACATTGCATATGGATAAATGAAATTAAATTTAAAAGATAATGTAAATTATATTAAATTAAATTATTAAAACATAAAAAAACTTAAGATAAATTAGAATACAAAAAAATTAAATTACATAAAATAAAACAAAAAAAAAATTAATTTAAACAACTTATTATATTAAACAAAAGAAAATAATTAAAATAAAATATAAATAAATCTAAAAAATTACAGTTAAAATAATAATATTTATTGTATTTGTTTGAAATACTTTCATATACATTTATATTTTATTATTTATTTTAATTTGTATTACTCCATATTATTTTGTTGCATTATTCTTTTTATTTCATAGTTAACAACTATATTTATTTTCTTTAACTTAAGACAATGAAATAAAATTAAAATAAATTTTACTAAATAAAATATATAAATTAAAATTATTTATTTATAATTAAAATCATGTACTAAAATATTAACTGAATAATTATATTTTAAATTGTAGAACATAAATAAAAAATTCTATTATTCTTAACTAAAAAATGACTCATTATAAATAATTATAACGGATTCTAATTTTAGCATTGTTTATTTAATAGAACATAAAATAAGAATAATAAAATTAAATTATTTATTAGAAATTTAAAAATACGAATTTTAAATAACTCTCTAATTTATAACTCATTTTATTCTTATTTTTAATAACTTATTATAAAATACGAATTAAATAACTCATTTTATTCTTATTTTTAAATACTCATTATAAATAATGATAACGGATTCTAATTTATAACTCATTAATTTAAAAATAGGAATTAAATAACTCATTTTATTCTTATTTTTAATAACTCATTATAAATAATTATAACGGATTCTAATTTTAGCATTTTTTATTTAATAGAACATAAAATAAGAATTATAAAATTAAATTATTTATTAGAAATTTAAAAATACGAATTTTACTGAAAAAATAAATTTATATATTTCTCTATTTTTTTAAGAAGATAAATAATATAAAAACTAAATAAAAGTCATAAATACAAATAATATATAGCTATTGAATTAAATTTGTTTTATTTATAAATAAATATTTTTATTTTATTTTTTGTTTGATAAAGTTTTGTTCTCTTTGTGTTCTTTTAGATAAGTGTGTGTCAAATATATATCATTCAATGATGGTAGCAAGGTGGTTTGGTGCCTTGTGTGTAGAGTTTTTGGCCTGAGATCGAACCCTGAGATAAGCAAAATATTTTTCAGTATTGTTCAGGGGTAAAACAGTAATTTCAGTCACTTTAGGGTGGAAAAATGAAGAAAAAGTGGCACTGCACGCGCGTGCACTCCACTGCCGTCATCTTAGACGGTTTAGGGGGTTACGCGCATGCAAACCTTAAATACAAGGGGGTATGACCCAATTTTTAAAATATAGGGGGAAAACGCGCAAATTTAGTATAATACATGGGGATTTGGTGCAATAAACCCTAAGAGCATGTTTGTTTATGAAAATTTTTGAGTTTGTTTGGATTTTTTGGTTTGGT